AAAGGACCCAAATTCCACATGCCATCGATTTCAGGACCCAAAATCTCCATGCCAGATTTGGACTTTAACTTGAAAGGCCCCAAACTCAAAGGTGATGTGGATATCAATGCTCCAAAAATAGAGGGTGACATCAAAACCCATGACATTGACATCAAAGCTCCAAAGATTGACATTGAAGGGCCAAAGGGTGGATTTGAAATGCCTGGAATGAAAATGCCATCTCTAAACATTAAAGGTCCAAAAATAGATACCCCAGATTTTGACATAAATCTTAAAGGCCCAAAACTTGAAGGGGATGTGGATGTTAAAATGCTAAAGGTCAAAGGAGACATAAAAGCACCTGTTGTTGACATTGAAGGCCCAGACATTGACATTGAAGGCCACAAAGGTGGAATCAAAATGCCTAAATTCAAGATGCCTTCATTTGGAATGAAAGGTCCAAAAGTAGAAGGTCCAGATGTAGACATCAACCTTCCGAAAGCAGACATTGATGTGAAAGCACCAATCATTGACATAAAAGGACCAGAAGTGGATATCGAAGGACCTGATGCAAAGCTCAAAGGTCCCAAATTCCACATGCCATCTATTTCAGGACCCAAAATCTCCATGCCAGATTTGGACTTCAACTTGAAAGGTCCCAAACTCAAAGGTGATATGGATGTAAATGCTCCAAAAATAAAAGGAGACATCAAAACCCCTGAAATTGACATCAATGCTCCAAAGATTGACATTGAAGGGCCAAAGGGTGGATTTGAAATGCCAAAAATCAAAATGCCATCACTGAACATCAAAGGTCCTCAAATAGATACCCCAGATTTTGACATTAACCTAAAAGGCCCCAAACTTGAAGGGGATGTGGATGTTAAAATGCCAAAGCTCAAAGGAGAAATAAAAGCGCCTGCTGTTGACATTGAAGGCCCAGACTTTGACATTGAAGGTCACAAAGGTGGGATTAAAATGCCTAAATTCAAGATGCCGTCATTTGGATTGAAAGGGCCAAAAGTAGAAGGTCCAGATGTTGACATTAACCTTCCAAAAGAAGAAATTGATGTGAAAGCACCTGACATTGACATAAAAGTACCAGATGTTGATCTTGAGGGATCTGATGCAAAACTCAAAGGACCCAAATTCCACATGCCATCGATTTCAGGACCCAAAATCTCCATGCCAGATTTGGACTTTAACTTGAAAGGCCCCAAACTCAAAGGTGATGTGGATATCAATGCTCCAAA